AAACTGGAGCGCGTTCTCGGTCCCTGCTTATAGATACTACCTAGTACTAGAAAAAAAAAACAATAAAAAAACAGTTTTTTTTAGTTTGAATAATGCAGATATACGTAAAAATATGAGTATGTAAGTACATTTTTAAAAATATTTTTATGATATGTAGAAACGCATTCACTGGCAAACATACATACATACACCCAATTGCAGTTAAGGCAGAAATAGATAAGTACATATTTTTTTTTGCTGAGGAAATTAAAGTTTTAACTCCTTATGTACACAAATATAGACTATTTTTTAATTTTAAATGAAAAAAGGTTAAAACAGAACTGGAGGTATGGATTTTTTATGTGCGGTTCTTGGAAGCCAACATTGCCCGTGTAATTCGCAAGATATCGCTAGCGATGAAGTTAAAATTGGATCTTCCGAATGGTCTACCTGCATAGTACTCTCGGCCAATATTTGAATGAAATTAATTTTTAAAAGGGAAATATCAGAGATTGTTCTTGCGGGTAAAGATTCTTACATCCAGTTCTGTTAAAGTTTTTTTTTTTTTTTTTAATTTCAATTTAAACAAGTCTAGATGGATCCCCTTTTACATTTACACTGGGAAAGAAAAACCATATCCTCTTTGTTTCAAGCTATAAAGCACATATGATTGGCCCAAACGAACTTTTGTTTACTTTAAAAAAATTTATTTTTGCATATTTTTTCGTTTGAATAAGATTTTCTTCTGCACTTCACAGATGCTTTTTCGAAGCCCGACCCTACTGAGAGTTAACAAATAGTAGCAAGCTTCTCCGCACACTCAGCTCAACCACAATATGTATGCAAGTGAATCAAGGCCAAATCACGCAAATGGCGGTTGTTTGGAAATTTTGTTTTAATGAGCTGAACTGATTCTTGATACAAATTTTCATATAACACCATTCTGTATCGATCACACGTTTAAGATTGATCTTATGTTTAAGATTGTTAAAAAAAATACTTTATCTGTTGAAAGTTTTTAACCGCTAGCATTGAAAAACCAAAAATGACCCTGTTTGGAAAACTCATGTTAGTTTTTTCTTAGTGTGAGCTCTTTTTTTATACATGACACTATCCACAAAAGAAAAATAAAAATCAACGCGATTTTGCAGCAATTTAAAACTTGCGCATTATTATATTAAAACTTAATGGGCTTCAAAACTGCGTTCTCAAAAATTTTCCCCAAAATCAGAAAGTTGTAAATCTGTATGTAAGTTTATTGCACTTTCTTGAGTTTTTCACCAAGTTTAGAAGTTTAATTTTTATGTGTTTGATTATGGTTAGCTATGGTTTTATAAAAAATTAGTGAAATAGATATTTAAATGAAAGACTTCGCATACATTAAAAAAAAATTCTCTGTAAGAAGACTTTAGTGCAACACTGTACTAAAAAAAAATAATACAGTAATTAAAATAGACGACGGATTTTTCTTTGTTATCCTCTTTAGAAGAGATATGGATCAGACAATATTTTTGACCGCCCAAATCGAATAAATCTACCTGTGTGCAGAGCTTTAGTAAACACAATGTACAATTTATCTTACTTCTTACAAGATTATATATGTAAATTTCAAATTATCGGTTGGATGCTTGTAGGTCATATAGCTCGAACTTTGAGGGGTCACTCATAGGTGAAACGTATTAGATGTCTCGTTAATTTAAGCTTATTTGACAAGTTGACCCTAATCGCCAGTCCCCTACCAAAATTCTATATGCGCCACTGAGGCTGATGCTACGGTTCCGATATTACGTGCTTCGATTCAGCGGCCTAAACCGATTCTGGTGAGATTAATATCCGATCGATATAAAAAGAGCTCAGTTAATGAGAAATATGCTTGTGAGAGAATTTTGTATCGGATGTTTTGGCTATTATCTTGATAGAAATAAAAATAATGTATGTAAATAAAATACAGAAATTGAGGAGCAAATAATGACTACATCTTGCAAATTTCACATTTCAATTTTCCCCGTAAATATGTATACAGGGTGTCCCAGAAGTAACGTGCCAAACTTTAGGGCAAGGTAGGTGGGGGGGTGAGCTCACTGATAAACAAAAAATTTTCAGGTAAAAGTGTCACCGTTTTTTAAATATTTACATTTTTTCGAATTTAAAAAAAATCGTGCCTTTTCATGTGTTTTCTTT